CTCTCTCTCTCGTCGAACCGAGCACAGCGATCTCTCGTCGAACCGATCTCCCTCTCTCTCGCAGCGAGCACCACACCGCGAACCGCATGCAATGAACCGAAACATCACGAAGCAGCACCGCCGTTGGGATTGCCACGCGGACCCGGATTGGACGGCCAGATAGTCCGCAGCGAGCACCACAACACGAACCGCATGCAACGAACCGAAACATCAGGAAGCAGCACGGCCGTTGGGATTGCCGCGCGGACCCGGGTTGTACGGCCAGATAGAAGTTTCGGGAAAAAAATTCTATCTGGCCGTGCTACCGGGGCCCGCTCGACAATCGCAACGGCCATCACCCGTTCGGCCTGCCCCGACGATCTGACACGGTATCTGTCGGGCCCGCCTGCCGGTCCCACCGTGTTTCCCAACACTGGCGAGCGGGATCTCGCGGGAGCGTTACCCGAGACCCGCTATTCACTTTTAAGGAAAAGAATAAGATTGGTGAAGATAAGGAGGAGGAGGAAGGTGGAGGGAAGGGGGATCTGTCATTGGTCTTGCTGGTGTACATCTTCTTCTTCTTTTTCTTCTTCTTCTTCTTCTTCTTCTTCTTCTTCTTTGGTCTCTATCTCTTTGCAAGCGCTTTCATTTCTTTCGCAGTTGGGTGGCATTGTCTTTGCTTGTGAACTTGCACTTCGAAAATGACCAGGATCGTAACAAAGGGATGAAATGATTGGGTGGGTTCTGATTGGCTAGAGGACAAATGATGACGAAAATTTGGCGGTTCCAATTGACTACAGGCCATGGAATGCCCTTCCATCTATGAAATGATGTCGCCCCCAAATTTCAAATGGGAGAGCGAGCCACTGCTCAAAGTATGGAGAAAAGCTACAGAGGGTGAAAACGAGTGTTTGACTGACCAGAAATCAAAGCTGGAGGTGTATCGTCCAGAGCAGTTTGAGAAGTTCTTGAGAGAAGCACTTGCAGACAACGTGGTGAGTTGCCTTTGCCCTCTGTGGTCTCTTCAGTGATGGTATATTTGTCTTCTTCTTCTTTTTCTAATTCTCCTAATCATGGTTCTTATTCTTATTCTATTTTATTCGCTGTTTACTAGAGTGCAAGGAACCCCATCAACATCCACATAGAAAGTTTTAGGGTCGTAGTTTCTGGTCCATGTCGAGCATCTGGGGTTAAGAGTCGTGTCTCCAGCCCAAGAAGGGCCTGAGAAAGTCCACGGGTCAATAGGTACCCAGTCAATAAAACAACACACGTCGTGCCTTTGAACAAGTAGTTGACCTTAAGAAATTTGAAAGTAAGAGAGTTTTCAGGAGTCAGCCACAGCCACAGATCTGATGCACATCAAATGCTGTTTGCAATATTTAGAAGCTTCTGATGCCCACCGGGCCTAGCCACAGAAGGGCCGAATCTGAGCCATTGAAGACCAGGAAATCTCAGCCACACGAGAAGGCAAAGCTGAGGTAGGCTCAGCTCTGTCAACGCTGCAAAAGAGTGACCTGCCCCAGTCCACTCATTCATTCGGCATCGCACTGCTTGAGGCTGGAGTGCTGGTCCGCATTAGCTCTGAGGGAGGCAGGGAGAGCTGGCGCAGTTAGAGAGAGACAACGCCAGGAAAGAGAGTTGTGGCATGCTCAGGGCCTGTCACACCGGGATAGGAGCCTGGAAATGTCCTAGGGGCGGTTCTCAGCAGCCAAGACCTTTGCCAAGGCCCTCAGCCATTTTGTGGACCTTGGAGGATCTCTGCAGCATAATCGTTACACACTGGAATTGGCACCGCCGAGAAGAAAATGCGGCCATCGTTTGAGCGTTTGAACGACTTATGCTAACCTCCTTAGGTCCTATACTTGGGTTAGGATAAAACAAGATTGAATCTTGTATGTTCAAGGCTGCAAGGTGTGCAAGAGGAACAAGAGTTTCCACGCAGGTAAGAGGAACAAGAGTTCCATGCAGCGTCCCCTAGGACTATTGAAACCCCTGCCTATTCCATCAGGCCCGAAGATTCTATATATATAGACTTTTTGGACAATTTTATATTCCACTGCCATCAGAGGCTTTCGTGAGTTTTTCAATCATTGGGTTAAATATTACGAACATCCTTTGAGTGTAGATACACTAAGATACTGACCGAGATACCAGGTTCACAGGCGAACACTGGCAACAGCTAATGAAAGTCTATGGTTTTAAGGTCATCAGATAGACACCTAGAGACACACACAAACGGAACAGATAAACAAACTATTACAGCAAGTGCATTGCATGTACATTATGAGGAATTTGCAGTGCATTATGAGGAGTTACAGCAAGTCGCTGCGAACATCAGGAATGTGCAACACCAGATGTTTGAGCAGCCCAACAAGCATTGCATGCCTTCGAAGTTCACTGTCGGCGACTTAGTTTGGGTCAGGTCTAAGGTGTTTCTCCCTGAGGAAGCAACTTCTCAGAAACTCCTACCTGGGCGCAGAGGACCGTTGGAAATCCTTGATATTAGGTGATCCAAATGGTCCCTCCTACGTCGTCGACACACCGCCACATCTGCATACATACCCTGTTTTTCATGCCTCTAAGTTGCCCTGCGTACTCAATGATCATTTCCCTTCACACTGATCTATGATCCCGCCTGATATGAATGGAAGATATGACATTGACGAGATTATAGATGAGGATATCTACAAATCAGGTCGGAGAGGCAGGGCCTCAGCGCCAGTGCAAAGTTAGATTTGCTTATCAGGAGCCCGAAGATGATCGCTGGTATATTAGGGACGAGCTAAAGGAGACGGCATGTAACATAGTCTCCTTCTATGAGCGGGTTAGAAAGGGTATCAACATCATTGGCAGGTAAAGATACGATCTTTCTTGGAGGACCTAGAAATTAGGCCGGTAGGAGTGTCCCAAGTCCCAGTCCCAAGAGTCTCAATGGGGCCAATTCCCAAATGGTCCCAGTAGGACGAGTCCCAGGTCCATAGGGTCTTGCAGGGGTCCATAGGTGGAACCAGTCCAGTACTGCAGGATGTTGAAGCGTCGTAGGTCGATAGAAGTCCACCGGTACCGACAGGAGAAGTCAGTCCCAAAGTTCAATTTTAGATTTCCGGAATGACAATAACATGCAGCCGCAGGCGGCCGGTACCGGTCCAAAGCAGGTAACACAAGTCCACAAGTTCTATTTATAGCTTCTACAGTGCAAGGGGCACTTTAGTTGTTCATTCGCAAGTTGCGGAATCGCTGATGGTCGCTTCTGCGATAGTGCGACTTGGGCGCCGTGCACCGGAGGGGAAGAGACGGCGCTGGAACTCGAACAATAGCTAGGGTTAGGAGCTAGGAAGAAGTTGACATAGCCACAGAGGTGGAAGACAAAGTCAATGGGTGCATTCGTGGGGTGGGGGGGAGAGAGAGAGAGAGAGAGAGAGAGAGAGAGAGAGAGAGAGAGAGAGAGCAGTTACAGGCAGAGACTGCTGTCGGGCCTTGAGCACCCAGGAGCTGATTCGACATTCGGGGCAGACATTGGAATGGACCTTTGACGGGATACTTTTTTTGGACGACCTCAATTTCCATTCTGGACTTCCTCCTCCCTGCTCCATTTCCATCTCCCCTCCCTATGATTTCTATTCTTGTCTTCCTCTTCCCTGGTCTACCTTCGTCCCCCCTCCCTCCTCATCATCTGTTGATCCTCTCCCATGTGTGTGTGTGTGAGGAGGGAACTTTCTTCCATGCATGCATCCCTCCTTGCTGCATGACATGTGTGATGGAAAGTGTGTGAGTCGGCTCTGAGTTGGATGTGCTACATTGTCTTATTTCGTGCTTGCATCGACACGCATTCGACCATGCATCTGTCTGTGTCTATGTCACTTGTTGACTCCTGCTTCTTGAACACCCTATTCCACTAGCCGGACTCGTCAAGATGGTTGAGTGCTCAGAGGGAGTTGTTGAAAATGTGGAAACCCTCTCCGCTGTAAACTGGGTCCTCAAGATTATGGACCAGCCCTTTGAAGGGCTGAGTGAGGGAGGATTTCTGTCTCTTTCGCTGCTTCCATTAGGCTCTCTAAGATCACGAAGAAGTCGAAGAGAGAACAATGTGTGGTTAGCATTATTAGTGCGAGACTTAAATGGGTCCAGGAGCTCCAATTATGTCATCACTCATCATGTTATTATGTTTTGACTTTTTGTGCAGTTGAACACAGACAGACAGGTTTCTTATCATGATCTGTGAGGTTAGACAGTTTCCTTTTTATTCAAAAAATTATTTTAAAAATATCTATTGTAGTAACCCGTGTTCTGCAGCAGTCTGGGGGCCCGAAACTGCGCCCAGACGACACAGGCCAAACACGGCCTGTGCCAGGCAGTGCGACCACGCACTGCCCCCCCCCTCGAAAGTCAAGGGTCTAAGTCAACTGAAAGGGCCTTTTTCACCCAATGTAGGCCTCAGGCCTTGTAACTAAGCAACGTGGGCCATGTAAAAGTAAAGCAGCCTGAAAAGGTATCTCGCCAGGGCTCAGAAACGTGAAAAGCAGGTCAAGAGTCCAAGTTCTCTACCAACGGGCACATCCTGAAGCAAAGGGCATTGTCAAAAGACTTACCTGTTCGCCAGCAGTTGTGTAGGTCATGAATAAGGTGTGTCTGTACGAGCAGCCATTGTGCCTGTTCGTGTAAAGAAGAGAAGTTGTGTCTGTATATGCAATGCTGATGTCTGTTCGGACWGTAAGTGTGTCTGTTCRTCTAGATGTGACTATTCAAAAGGAAGTCAACAGTTATGTCCCAGTTTTTGGTCTGAGTCATGGGGGCAGTCCAGATCCAGACTTCAAAATTCGTATCCAGGCCAAAGGGCCTCCACAGSAGTTGYTTTTCATTGGGAATGCTCTGGGACACATGCAATGCAGGGTCTGGGACAAGAGGACAGGCCGAATTGAGACAATGCAGACCCAACGGGGAGAGGCCAGCACTACTTAAGGAGCTGCCAGCCTCATTCCACGCAGATCTCCACTGGCATTCAATGCGTGGAAGTGCTGGTGCACTTGTGCGCTAGTCAGGCAGAAGCAGCGCTGGAAGAAGGAGATGCGCTGAGGGAAGAAGAAGGCCGGGCGCTGGAGGGAAGCAGCCATCGCTGCCCAGCAGATTAGTGTAGATAGCTATGAGTGACATTCAGAGTAGATCCTCGTGAGAGAAGAGTGTGTATGCATCGTGAGAGGAAGGGACTGAGACAGAGAGAGTGTTCTTTCAAGGTCTGGTTATGGAGGACACTTACCTGAGCTAGAAGCAAGTGACGAAGGTGGCATTGATGTATCTGATGTGGGATTAGTATTGCGCTGAAGCGCGTTGACTCAAGGAACTGTGAACTCATTGTAATCATAATTTTTGATAATATAAGTGACGGGTCTTGGTCCTATTCTTATCTACCTTTGTCTCGTGTGTGGCAACTGTGTCCATTGAGTGTGAAGACGATGTTTGATGTATGCACATCTGCGTGAGTTGGTCCCCAGGACCCATGCA